TGTAGTATGACCTTTGGAGATACTTTGGGCATTCTTGGTGTTACCTATACGAGTTGCTAGGGAGTTGCTCTTGGTTGAGACTGTCCATGACCTTATACATAGTGAGATGGAGATATACATTTGGTCCAGTGATGTTTCTCCAGGGGGCTCTGGAGCTGCATTTGTGGTTGACTGTCCCATTGAGACTATTCTTAGCACCCTCCTTGGTTTGATTGTCAGCTTCTGCTCTTTTCCTAGCCTCTTGGCTGGTATTTGTTGGATAGAAATGAGTTATTGGAGGATGTTCATCTGCCTGCTGACACCCTCTGTAAGAGACATGAGGCACTTTTCTCCAACCTTTGATTTTCGCAGGTGTTCCAGAGTCTTTGGATTTGAGGGTTGATGTTGTCTATCTGCATTCATCCTTGTCATCATTGGCTTCTTGACTTTCCTACAGGGGTCATAATTCTGCCCCTATTCGAGTCTCCTAACCCCTGACATCAGCCCCTTGGTCCATGGATGCACAGAATAGATTCTGTCCACATCCATGATATTCCTCCACTTGATTGGAATGCTGCCAGAATTGGTGGTGACTACTGTATGCCTTCAGGGTCTTTGGGAGCTTAGCTCCAAGAATTTCTGGACATGTGGACAACCTTTACCATGGATCCATGGGTACTACAGGTCTTTGCATCAGGATTAGACATTCAGTTCACATCTCCACCACTATCCCCCCAACCAGTAGTGTTTCTGCCTTTTGCAGATTCTCAGATTTTGGAACTTTGTTCCATGGCTATTACAGATTTGTTGGTCAAGAGGGCAGTGGATAGAGCCATTCCAGTTCTTTCTGGGTTTTATTTCTATCTGTATATTGTGCCCAAGAAGTTGGGATATTGGCATCCAGTCATTGATCTTTTTTGATTTAAGTCAATTCCTAGACCCTCCAAAGTTCATGGTAGAGTCATGCTCACTCTGCATTGGTGTTTTTCACCAGGGCTGCGAATGACCAAGTTCAATATCACCAACATCTATCTGCACATTTCCATAGCAGATTTATCCAACCACTATCTGTGTTTTGATCACAAGGATCTGGTGCTGCAGTTCAGGGCTATGCCCGTCAGACTAACACAATCTTCATATGTGTTCTGCCGAATCATACTTACCTTTTCTCATCACCTCCATTCCCTGGGCCTGGGCATCTGGCTACTGCTGGCACCATCTCATCTGTTGGTGGTACATTACACCCAGATACTGCTTTCCAAGGCAACCAAGGCAGGATTTCTTATCAGAGTCGAGACATCTCTTCTCACTCCAGCATGATATTTAATCCATCTACTGGATCTACTTTTTCAACACGTATCTTAGTCTGGCTCTGCTGAATCCCATCCAGCTCCATGTTATGGCACAGGCAGTCTGACTCTTACTCACATCTCCTCCTCCCATGATTCTTTATCTTTTGAAGATGTTGGCATCACACAAATCCCTCATTCCTTTGGGATGAGCAGAAATGAGATCCCTTCAATAGTCTCTATGTAACCAATGGATCATGAACAGCAATCCATTAGTTTCCCTTGATTCCTTATTCAGGATTAACATCTTTGACCTTGAATGGTGGTTAGATCAGAACAATACTGTGATCAGTGTTCCTCTGCTGCCATCTTGTTCAGTGCTCCATCATTTCACAGATGGGATGGGATGCTTATCTTCACAGTCAGGGTTTCCAGGGCCTGTGGATGGATGGTGAGGCTTCCTTCCACATCAATGTTTTAGAACTTCTTGGTGTTCAAAGGGTGATGTCTCAAGGTCTTAAATTATTATGGGATAAAGTCATCATGCTTCAAACTCCGAAAGTTTTATAGTGGTGTCTTACATTTCTCATCAAGGGAGCATTTGGACCAGGTCTCTTTGTTTTCAAACCTTGGATCTTCTATATTGGGCCCACTCCCATCATATCATCCTACTAGATGGTTAGGTTCCGGGGGGCGATGAATTTGGTGGCAAATCAATTGTCTGGGCTCTACTGAATTTTCCAGACAGAATGGGTGCTTCATCTAAAGGTTTTCTGTTGTATTTGCTCATGGTTTGGGACACTGATGATTGTGTTTGCCACTCATTGGAACACTCGGCTACTGGCATTTTGGTTTCCAGTATCTCACCCTCAGGCATTGGCAATAGATGCGTGCAGTTAGGAGTGGACTGGATTGAACCTATATGCCTACTCACGTACTTGTTATTTAACCAGAGTCCTGGCAATGATTCATTCAATCCCTGGTTGCATTCTGTTGGTAGCACCAGATTGACTGGCTCAACTATGGTTTCCATTTCTGTGATACCTTCAGGAGTGCCCACCTCTTCCACTTCCTTTTTGGCCATCCCAGTTGAGGCAGCCACGATCCGACATCTTACACCCATTCATCCCAAAGCTTAAGCTTCATGTGTGGAGGTTATGCAGTCCTTCGCACTGCATTGGGGTTTAACTTCTTAGGTTATCATGTACTTGTCTTAATCTCTGCATCATCGCACGATGGACATTTATCCACTGAAATAGCACAAGTATCGACAATGGTGTATTGAGAGGAAGTTGAACCCACTTTGTCCAGACGTGCTAATCACTGATTGGTTTTTTGACCTGGCTCTCTAACAAGAGTTTCACGGCTTCCACCAGTCACCTTATATCAGGCAGCCTTATTGGCGACCTTTAGATACACGAAGAGATGGTAATTCATTGAATTCCCAATGCACTCTGGCCTCCTCGAGTTGTTTTAGTTCCTTTGACCCAGTCGAGTGTTTCACTTCCCTAATTGAGATACAAAGGTGGTGTTACATGCTCTTTTTTGACATCGTTTGAGCCCTTAGCCTCATGTACCATGTATCATCTTTCCCTTAAGGTTTATATTTTGTTGCTGCTGTCCCAAGGACGTCCTTGGGCAGGGTTGTTTGCTATGCACATGCGCAGGATGCTTTACCATTCTGTCTACATCCTTTTATACCCAGACAAGTCCTTCTTACCTCAGACACTGGCAACTAGGGAAGATCATAAATCCTTTTCACTAATTTTCTGACTGCTATTTCTCACCACTATGACTGATCAATTCTTGATTGTTTGTTATGTCCGGTAAGGACGTTGAAGTGTTACGTGGCCCTAATTATAGCTTTTAGAGGTGTTGGACAACAGTATTTTTATTAATTATGACACTTTAGTTTCCCGGTAATTATCCCTGGTAACCTTAACGGGATTGGTATGAAAATTGATCCACATTGCTTCTTTTTCATCAGTATTGATTCAGTACCCCAAACTCGGAATGAGGGGATCCTGTATGCCATACTAAACCTAAGGAAACAGAACTCATCTGGCCTGAAATTATGAACACTCATCCTCACTCCCCATCCATGTGGGTAAAGAAAATTCCACTTGCCCCCAGAAATATTGGAAGGACATTGAACAAACAGTACTCAACCAAGGACCCAAGATGGGATCATTCTACGTTCAGAATTATGAGAAGGCAATGGACCCTCTTCCAGGAACAATGTATTGCCATTTGGATGTCTTCAGGTTGAGGAGAGGGTTTGTCCACCTTGGTATTACTTACCTTCTCATCGTGATTCTGGTGGCTCGAAATGCATCTCTCTATGGTTACAGGTTGATGTAAGTTCCAGGTGAAGAGCATACCTGTTCTGTATATAGTGTGGTTCCCCTACTAGGGTGCTAATCTTCTGTTATTGGCATGGCCATGATCTGTGCAGATGCATTCTGTATGGATAATGCCCTCACTGGCCTCTCCACCTTATCAATATGCGATTATAGCTGTAGTATGAGCAGAGTTAAGTATGTTTTGGAAGTTACCATTTTTTAAATTGAAAATCTAGTTCCAATAATACTTACCTCCCTCACACACTCTCTCTCACCCTTCCTCCCCACTAAGAGCTGGTGTTAGAGACTGAGATTGAATCAGTCTGGAAAAAGTGATAACATTATCTGAATAAGGTGCTTATATACAGTACCAAGATAGAGGGTGCATTGATGTAAGTGGAGAGTCTCACGAAACAGATATCACCAAGGACAATTAATTGGGAATAAGAGACTGGAGTAAGCAAGAAAAAATCAAACCAATTCTTAGATGTGCAAAGGTAAATAAACCCTAGCAGTCAAGTAATAGCTGTAGTGTGAGAAGAAGTAAGTATTATTGGAAATGCATTTTCTATTTAAGAAAATATTTAATTTTCAAGTTTATTTACAAAATGCATGACAAAATATTGCTGATTTTGCCTATCAGTTTTTGTGATGAAAGTAACTAATATCTCACTACATATTTTGTGTTAGTAATGTTCAATCTAACAAGAAACTACCAGTTGCATGTCTGTAGTAGTTTGGTTTCATCTTAGCAAGATTTAACTTCTATGTCACATTAGTTTATTATATTAATATTGATTTTTTTATAATGAAATGCGAGTAAAATGCACTAAAACAATGAAATTTAAGTCGTTTTTGTCTAATTTGTGCTTCTGTGGTCAAATTTTATCTGTTTGCTTGTGGGATACACATCAACATTTTTTTTTACAGAAATGGTAGCCCAGTATAACTTGATGAAATGTACTAATACATAACATTTTAATGCTAATGGTCAGGTTGCCTCTCAGATGTAGTATTTATTTTCAGAAAGAATTGTTTAAATTGCTTTTTTAAGTTTTAGAAGTTCATAAGGTAATCAGACTTCATATTTTACAATTAAATTGTAAGCTCTTGATTTTTTTACATAATAGAAATTTGCAATTCTTAAATTGCTATCAAAGAGTACTTTAAAAGTTTTTTCTTTAATTTGTTTGTCACAACTAGAAGTTGTCTGAGATGTCAAACTATTAGTAACTGCGGTTGATTAACAATATTTTTATGCGGCAGACAATAATGGGATGTTGTAGCCTGAGTATTGTTTAATGTGTTGTTGTAACCTCTTGCTGATTATACTTTTTTTGGTTTTGACTTCTTGTTTTATGTTTGTATATTAATTCATTTTACATTGCAGTTGAGCAGTTCCTGGAGGAAGCTAAAGAACAGTTTGAAAAGAAGTGGAATAATCCATCCAAGGTAAATATTGTGAACATCCTTGAAAGGATTGAAATAGTTTTAAGGGACCAAACAAACTGGAAAGTGTTTCATGGGCTATCTTACTAATTAGCTTGACAACAGAAAAATCTTTTGAGTCCTTTTCATGTTTGTTGGGTCAGTTTAGTTTGTAGAGATATTAGAATTGAATTAAGCAATCTGTGAATTTCATTAACTTATAAACAGTCAAAACATGACACTCAGATGACATTTGTAAGATTTCCTAATCATTGAAAACAAATCAATCATATTACGTGTATCATGAATTTTCTAATATATTTAATATTTAATTCAGGCACCACTAGATGATGAAGAAAGATGTGGGTGATCCAAAACTTTGATAATTCAGCTGTGAAGGCAGAGTATCTTTACAACTGAGGAAAGATATTCTGAAATTATGTTTCATTAAACTGATACAAGAGATAAAACAATTTGAAAAAACAAAAATTCAAAACCAACGTAAATACTGTATTTTCAAGGTGGACTACCATAGATACATATACCTTTGAAACCATTGAAAGTTCATTTACTCACTTTCACACTTTACATTTTCTGCTCATTCTCAGTTCACCTTAAAAAAGGAAGCACTCAGGTTATTGGTTTCTTGCTTTATGGTTTCTGTATTCCCTTTATCTTATGTGACTTTTGGGTGTTGAGTTTTATATTCTAATTTTATTTTCTTTGTTGGAGTAATTTACTTGATGATTATTATGGTTATATACATCTTACTATAAAGATGATCCATTACATGTGCATGTGTAAGCTGTGTGCATGTTAACTGGCTCTATTACTGTAATTTTTTTGCATGGTAACTGGAAACTGTCCAATGGTGTATATCGGCTATTTTGTTCTTGGATTTTTGCTGAAGAAGGGATATAAAAAACATACTAAAATAGGGCATATTTCCACTTTTTTTTTTAATAGACTTCATTTTCAATTTAAAGACACAAGTTCTTAATTCAGTTAAATGAGTCAATTATTGCCTCCTGTACAGAAGAGTCTTCAATTACCATCCAATGATGTCATTAGAGATTTAATAACAAAAGAAAGAAGGACATTAACTAAATTAGTCCTTTATACACTTTTTGCTTTCTTATTGGGTGACCTTTGTTAGTATGATTAAACTCATTTGTGAGTGACAGACAAATGTATAAAATTGATGATATGCTAGGAGTATGCTTGTGACTGTTACATATATGTATTTGTTACTAAAGATTTGCATTATATACTTGATTAGGAAGAATGACTAACTCCTTTAAAAATGCATGAAAGTTTGCTTTTTTGAATAAAATTGTTGTAAATAAATAGTGTGAGAGCAGAAATATTTATAGAAGACATTGAAAGTGACATGCACCTATGGTTAGTTGAATCTAATTTATTTGAAAGTAACAGGAAAGCCTAAAAATTATAAAAGATATAGTTCACTTAAACTTGTTTATCATTCAACGATGTGAGTAGATGCTGTTACACGGAGGGATGCATGATGTTTAGTAATAGTACAAGGATGAGTACCTAAGCCATAAAACCCCTTCTTATCATTGATAATATTCTCTGTGATAACCCTGATTCTTAATCTCTTAACATAAATTTTACTGAAGGAGGCTTTTGTCCTCCCCTCTTTTTTTACATGCATTTTGAAGTCTATCAGCCATGCACAAACGAACTTTGAGAGCTTGATTGAGAAGCCCAAAGGTGTAGAAGTACATAAAAGATGTCTGTGAATGATATAGGATGAATTTATATTTGTACTTGCATCTTGAATTATGCGTGGCAGGATGCTTTGTGTTGATGGAGCTATACCTTTCTGGCATCTAGTCTATATAAGATATTGCAGTGTTAAAACATCAGCTGATTGGCATTTTTCTCAACTCTTGAATGTATAATTTACATACAATCTGCAGTCACCATAAATCCCGTGGGAAAATTTTCACATCATGTTCTGTACCATTTTTAAAACATTGTATCATTGGCAATATGATAATAAATTTGTCAGACTTTTGTAAGCACAAAATAGAGATATGCTTCTTTCAGCGTGACAGCATACTTCCAGCTTAACCTATCATTCGATTCACCACTTGTCAATGAGTTGCACTGGTTTCAGGGAATTCCACCCCTTACTAGGAACCCTGGACAATGGAATAATGATGTGATGGACTCTATATTATTCAGTTGGGGTTTTTAATTGTCTTGAACTTTCTCGGTGTGGGTAGGTCAAAGTGAGTATGTCACAAATTTTTAGGGTTATATTCAAAATTTAATTAAACTATTATATTTTCATTGTATACATTTAATCTTATCATCAAATCACAATTAATTAAATTTTAGTATTATATAAGTTTTAAGTTCTTAATTTGATAGGAAATATTTAAAAAAATCCTTAATATTCTTTAATATGAAAATTGTGACATTTGTTCTCTAGGTCATCCCTCTTCTCTAAGTTATTTACTCTCCCTCTAAGAATATAACATAAATTAATCACTATGATAAAACATATTTTTTATAGCCTTCAATCTTTGTTTTTGGAGCCTTAAACTAGAAAATCAGACCAACTTACCATGCCTACCTGTTATGGTATTCACATCGACAAGCTTAGCTAAATTTTTAAAGGCTTATATATCATAGTTAGAAAGCTGGATGATTTATGATAGTTATGGACCATTTTGATTTGTTCATTTATTATTTTATGTTCTAAGGTGCATTATATGATTAAATTAAAAGTATTTAGTGTACTAGTGCTATTAGTATAAAAACAAAAGTAGGCTTAACTTTCACTGACCATCAACAGCATAAAACAAGACCATATTTATTGTTTTTTCATTTATATTCTTTTATCATTATTATTAAAAAACTAAAATGTAAAAATTAGGAACTTGTTAGTTAGATAAGGTAAGATAATCTTACTATAATGGACATAGTGTGTGTGTATATGTATTTATCTATGTATGTGACCAAAGTATTGAATGGCACCACAAACAAAAATCTATAAAAAAATCTTGTACTTTGGATATTCAAGATTCAGACAATTAGAAAAATAACTACAGTATGTGCAACAACTATTTCTTTATCACAGAACACAATTTTAAATGTAAGTACTGTCCTCACAGCAAGAACATGACTTTCATTAGGACTGTACATAAGGGTTTGATTTACCTTTTTTGATGTAATTTGTAAATATAGTACTAAAAAATGGAGTTCTTAAAAAACAAAATGTTATTTTTTCAGAAAAGGATACCACCTTTCATATTTAAAAACATTACCGTTTATATCAGCACAATCTGAACACTTTTCCCATGCAGTACTTCCCAGGGAAATTCTTTTTTAGAAAATGTTCACTTTTTCTAGAAATTTTTCAATGAGGTATGAATACTACAATTAGTAATTACTAGCACAAATAGCCATCCATAGGGCAGCATTTCTGCTTGTAATAATAATTCATCACAGGAAATGCTCATGCATTACATAATTCACTACAAGAACTCGAGCTATGCATTGGACAAGTGATTTACAACTTATGTGGTGGAATTATTAGTTAGATATGGGCCGCACACAAAAAATATATATATAAGTATAAAGAGATGTATGCTATTACAAGCATTAAGCTATTTAAGATAAATAAGTTTTGTTTCCTGTTACAATTTGCAGTCATTCTAGAAAGAAAAAAGGTAATTTAGATTTATTTTGTACTTTTTTATGGTGGTTACAAGGTCAGTCAAATTAACCAAATGCATGTAGAGTTAAAGTAAAGAAAATAACAGATGAAGTATCAAGTTTTACTAAAAAAAAAATTGTTGATATTTATTTAGGAGGTTTTAGAGATTATGCAAATAAAATCTGACAATTTTTGGGTTAAGAAAAGTATTTTTAATATTAACATGAAAATCACATTGTACTTGAAGCTGTCAACACTCTGAGTCCATATATTTATGGACAAGTTTTTAGTAAGAATATCTATTTTTTGTGTACAAAAGACTTGTTATGTTTACTGAAAATATGCCAAATTTCATGAAGGTACAAAAAACATTAAAAGTTATAGTATGGAAACTAATAGTCACTTTGAGGTCAGAAACTCAGCTGAGTTGATTGACTCACTAGTGAGAGGGTTAAATGATTACAGTAATTCTATATTTATATAGGATTTTAAGAGTATGTAGCATTTATGCTACTAATTTATTTTTTCTGAATTATTTAGCAGAAAAGCTGTTTAAGATACTAAAAATAACTAAGCTCTATCTATCATTTGATTTGTCACTTATCACTCAGTTATACTGGTTTCAAAGAATCCTATCCTGTTTATTATTATTTTTTGTTAGTATATTGCTATTATCTTGTATTTATTGTTACTTTGAAATGAATCACAGTTTCAAGTTATCTAAATTGTTCAAGAAACATGACTATACCACAGGTAGACAGTGGGATGTTTTACTCAGTTTACTTACATAGTTAGTAGCTGATCAAATACAGCAGGCTGCAGAAAATTGGTTTCTTATGTCTCAAAGTGTCATTACAAAAATGTGAGACTGCTTCCAATTCAATGGTACATCTAGATAAAACATAAGTAGATGGCTGCTACTTGGCTCTCTTTAATTAGAAGATACCTTTTCAAAGACTGAATAAAATGTTGCAGTTGCAACTAGTGTTCTGCATATTCAAAAGACTTCAGACTTATTGATCATATATGTTATGGTCTGGAGAGAGGTGTCACTGAAGTTAAACTTGACACGGTGCTTTCAGAAGAATGTTTGAGGACATCTTAGGACTTTATCAAAATTTATGATGAGTATGCAATGTAAAGATTGTAAAGATATAATAAAACTACCTGTACCAAGTGTTCATTTTGAAGTATAATTGCATGCTGAATTACCATTTCAGGTCACATGATGGATGATCAGACGTCTGATTTAAATAAAAATAAACCGGAGGATGGACTACTTGATATTGTTGGGCAGCAGTTAGTGTGCCCTATTGTAGTTAAAATAATAATATTACTATTACTCTTTGCTTTATGTTGTGTGTGTGTGTGTTATCTAAATGAAGTAGAATTGCAAGGAAATTGGCTTGCTCACTAATGCTGTGTTAACTAGCTACAAACAGGTTTTGAGAAGTTGAAATATGTGACTGGTATGCCGTTAACCATGAAGCCTAATTCCTCATTAATGTCATGACTGAAATATGATGTTTGAGAGGGATGACGTCTAACTAGTAGTTTCAGAATAATAAAGATGTAATTGTACACATACTTGTATGTGTTACAGTGGTGCGTATTTGTAACAAATGTCTTAGAGTAATGGTGAAACCTCATTGGTGTATAATGAATGTTTCCCTGCAGCTTGGTTATAATATGACTTTTTATGAGTTGAGAAAATTACTGTTTATTTTTATGATAAGTTACAAAATATTAATTTAATAATTGTGTGTATATGTATATTTTGTAGCGCTTTTAGAGAACTTTTGATTTTTACTTACTGTATTTTCTGTGTATTTTTGTTCTTAATTAATTTATGAAGTCGAGGTAAGTAATGGATCCAGATAATAATATATTATGCTTCATTTAGAATCAACATAAAATTTTGGTTGATTGGCACTTTATTGCTAAACTTAAAATAAAGTCGGACATTGATATAAAGTTAAATCCTAAGATAATTCGAAAACAAAGTACCCTTTGTTTATCTCGCATAATTGAAATCTACTTTATACTTTCTTAGATTATTTTCTTCATCTGTGTGAGCTGTAAATTTATGAAGTAAGCTATATGTGTTTTTCAATTCTAATTGAAAAAATCTATTGCATTTTTCTATGTTGTGAGAAATGTGCTGAAAAAAAAAGTTTTTTTACATATCAAGGAGATTGATACTGGATATGCTGTATTTATTTTGTGTTTTAAAAATGTTAAAATAGATATATTTGATATGATAAAATGTGCATTTTGATGAGTTGTAATGAAAAACAACTAGTAACATTGCTCTTAAAAATTTTCATTTTTGTTAACATGTTTTTATTTACTTGCACATGCATCTTATGTATAATTTGTTTTTATTGCACAGTCATGAATGCTTGAGTATGAAAAATGTCGAAGGATCTAATCCTATTAACAATACAAAACTCAGAATCTTACAAAAATATGTTAAGTTATTGAATATTAAATTTTTTTTTCCTTTGTTTAAAAATATTTTGGTACAACTGATGTGTTTGTAAAGTTATTATCAAGTTAAATGTACATCAGTGCGGATGGTATAGATTTCTATGTATTAACACAGGCCTTGACAAATCCCTGGCACCTGCTCACCTTGGTGACTAAAAATTTCATCATGCTGCCTAATATTTTCTTCAATTTTATCTGTGTGCAGGGTTGTGATAAATAGAACTCTATTCTAGAACAGTTCTGGACTCTTGGAAGTCCAGAACTATTTTCTTGTTCTTTAAGTCCTAAGTCGAACTTTGTTTCTAGGATTTTAATGGTGGATTCAGCAGTTGTTCATGATTTTTCAGGAATGTAACACTGAGGTTGCTCAACACGTTACTAATTTTGCACCATCTTGTTTTTCTTCTTTCTCTCAATTCAACCAATCAATGAGTGTGTTTAGACTCGGATGGGCCCAAAGGCATTTAGTTCAGGTAATATCAAGTGCTTGTTGATATCATGTGATCATTAGTATGCACTTGTTGCTGTGAAAGTAATTAAATATACATAGTCCCCATTTCATGGTACAAACAGTAGTGAAGTTAGGTTTGGCACATTGGGCTTCTGAATTTTGGGGCTGGATCCTAGATCTGAAATTATTTGTCAAGGCCTGTATTAACATATGTTCACTTTCATGTATTATCTGCAGACATCCATATATATATATATATATTAATAATTCCTTTTTATTATATTTGGTATATATTTTGCATTTGTCATAAGTTAAGGAATTACTTCTTACCAAGTATTTTTTGTTGTAGAACACTGCAGGTCTGGATGACTTCGATAGATTAAAAACTTTAGGTACAGGTTCATTTGGAAGAGTTATGCTTGTCCAACATAAATCAAACAAAGAGTATTATGCTATGAAAATACTTGACAAACAAAAGGTAAATTCTTATCAAACGTGTTTGTACAATTGTGAAGCTATTTTAGTTTTCTTTGAAGTAAATAAAATCATCTTGAAATAACTACCCAAAAGTATTGATCATTTAACCAATGGAGAAAAGGATTAATTTGCACATTATTTGAATTGTAAGGCACTTAAATATACATATTTATTCATTTACATTTAACAAAAACGTGTTTTGTCATTTGTATTCACATTAGGAAACTAGTATATGTTCAGGTTATATATATATAAGTAAAACACCAATAACATTCACCTGTGGATATAAGTAACAAGATTTCTTAATATAACTTTTTTATATTGACACTATATAGTATATTTTATAAATTTTAACTAATTTTATTTATTTTTGAGCATTTTTGATATACATATTTTATACATGGAGTGTGTTTATACATTTGTACATTATCAGTCCTTTTTTTTTTTTTAGTGTTAAAGAGACTAGATTGTTTATTTACATGTATAGATATGAATTGGACTTGTATTTTGCTGTATTTTTCAAGAATAGTAGATCACTATTTACAGTACTGCACTGATCGATCATGTTCCATTATAACTTCATTTTCAGGGTGAATAGCACTTTATGTATTGTTTTGTTTTTTTTTTTTATCTAAATTTATACATAGAGATAATATTATCACTTATCTGGCTTTTTCTTTTTATAAGTGTCCCTTGTTTTAATGAAGAAATACTTGTCTTTTTTTATGGAATACACCTATATGTAATTACGATTTCCTTACTATCTAAAAGTATATATATGCTTAGTTTGTGTGGTAAATTCATGTAAATTTATATAACAGGTACTAAAATATAAATAACTGCAAAGTTGATAGATACTTTGATAAAGAAGTTAATGGGTGATGTAGATAGATAGATAGATAGATAAAATACCCATAAATAAAAGTAACTAAATGGAGTAAGTGTTAGGTCCTTAAGCATATGCCTGTACATATTTGTGATAAATTAACTATTAAGACTTGTATCTTATACCAAGGCTGTATTTTTTTAGAATAAAATACTTATTGCATGATTATTGTAATATAAATGAATTGTATTTCACCTAATTCTCTTAGGTTGTTAAATTAAAACAAGTTGAACACACACTGAATGAGAAAAGAATCCTTCAAGCTGTTGAATTTCCATTCCTGGTCAGGTTGGACTATCATTTCAAGGTCAGTGAATTTTGAAAAATAGTCTATTTCAAATAAACAAGTGTGTAAAGGGTATTTATAATGTGTGTGTGTGCACACACAAACAAACACACATGTGTGTATATATATATATATATAATATGTGTGTGTGTGTGTGTGTGTGTGTTTTTCAGAAACACTTCCATAGAACAAGATTTTATAGGTGTCTAACTTTGTGTATTATTATTATTATGTGATATTTTATCTTTTTCCAAGATTAGTCACATGTAATTCCATGTAGTATAGTAGTTCTACTTTGCCATTTTAGAAGTTCTCTAGTTTCAAGACTAAAAGTAGATTTAAGCAAATGTTAGTTTTCATGAGCAATATGTAAAATACATGTAAAGACTTTATCATATTTATGTTTCAGTGTGCATGCATATATATATAAATAAAATGTCTGTTCAGCATCTGTAAATTATCGTTCACATAAAATAGTTTTCAAGAGTACTACGTTATGTATTTAACTTAACTAAAAACAAAAATTGGTTTGGATAACATTGTGACAGACATATCTCTATTGCTGTAAAATTACAATATTAAAAAGTGCATGTTAACAGTAGTTCGATTTGAAAACTTAGTTTCATTTCCATATCAAGTATTACCACTTGTTCCATAAGAATGTGTTTTTAAGTCTTTAAAAAATCAGGACAGTCATCTTCAGATTGTAATTTAATTGTATTATTATTTTTTATTAGGTACACATGAAAGTGTTCTCTAGAATAATTTTAGTAAATAAATAACTTAATACTCAGAGTAATGTCTGTCAGATATAGAATATTCTTTCCTACCCATAATTCACTAATGCAGTTTTATTTCACACTAAATTGAAGCAAACTGACAGTGTTAACACAAAATATAGCATAGTGTAAAATACCCAGAAAACATTTTGACACTTGAATTGTACTTTGTATTAAGTTAGTTAGCCAACTTTGTTATATGTGCATGTTTATGTATTTTGTGTACTGCATAATTGTGACATATCAGTTAGTACAAATGTTTGTACAAATAGTAATGGATATCAGCTTATTGATATGAATCATGGACCTGTCCATACTATTATGTTAGGTCTACAAGGTAGTATGTTGTTATTAACAACATAGTACGATTTTCTACACATCTTGAGTGTGGAAAGTTGGCTAATAGCCAAATTCAACGCCACTATTTACAATTAGTGACAAGTATGTATGTCAGGAAAAATGCTGACACACATACTAATGATAAACACTTTTTTATGTTTAACTTTTTTTTTCTGTCAATATATTTGCTATTCATGCAATTTAAAGCAAACAGTATTATAGGTTTGAGAACTTTAATGAAATGCCACTGTTGAATGAAAATGCAATGGTGTTCAGCTTCTATTCTGAGGCTTTATTCAAGGCCCCTCCCCCTCTTTTTTGCTTGTATGTACCATGGTTTGAGAATCACTGTACTAATTGATTAATTGAAATTAAAATTAATTGAGTAATGTATTTGATTTAATTAACAAATACCACTAATTGCTCAGTTCTACTAATGAATTAGTGAAAGTATTATGAAATGTGTATACTTTATATCTTGAGTTGAGTGGTAAAACTTTGGTAGCATTTTTAAAGTTTGCTTGCAGTGCAGTAGCAAATCTGTTTATGTATGGAACAACACAATATTGTTTTACTTGTCTATATGTGTGCATATCCTCCTTAATTGTATGAACTTTTTAGAAAAAGGTTGAGTAAAATAATATGTTGGATAAATATTTTATAAAATACAATACGTTTACAGGATTTTTGTTAACTTACTGGAAAAACCTTTATGTATTATAGTTAGTAACAGTGCTAACCTTTTCAGGATAATACCAACCTCTATATGGTTTTAGAATATATACCTGGTGGAGAGATGTTTTCTCATCTGAGGCGATTAGGAAAATTTAGGTAAGGTTGTTTTGTCACCAGTATGTAACAGTGATTTTCTTTCTGCTATTTCAGGACAATTCCAATTTGTACATGGTTCTAGAATATGTAGTGGGTGGTGAGATGTTTTCACACCTAAGAAAAAGTGGACGATTTAGGTAAGGTGCATGCTGCTAAACACTGCATGTGTGCACCTGAAGCATTACTAACTAAAACCTTCAAATAAGAGTTTTATCTTTATTTTCTAAGTAACATCTGCTTGATCTCAAAATAAACAGAATGGCACTAACATTACATTGCTCTTTTGTAGTGAATCACTTTTAATATATTTTATTGTTGTATGTAAATAAATCAGATACTTTCTGCATGTAACTTACCATATTAATGCAAATAATAACCAATGCGGTTTTATTCTTTTGCACATTTTTCTTTTCTATTGTTTCTTTGTTATAGTGGAGACTTTACAGTTTAATGTGCATGCATGTTTTAAAAGAATGCCTTTAATATATCTATTAGTGTTTTAATACTAATTTTAAAATATTGTAGTCTGTTATTAATATAATAGTATGTTTAACATTCATAACATAATCAATGAGCTCTCAAGAATATTATTTTCTGTGATGTAAGTTAATGAAATCTGAGATGTGGTTAGGTATTCTTTGAATTTCAATCAAAGTTGATAGAAGGACAAAGTACAATCACTTGTATTGGGATTAAATGTTAATCAGAGCTAACAATTTTCAAATTCTGAAACTTTGGTTTAATATTTAAATGTATCAAATTTTATAGAAATACTGGATTACTCAAAATTGTGTATGGGGAAATCTTCTTAAAAGGGGTGTTGAAAATCTCCAAAAAAGTGTTAAAATTTGTTTTGACATTGAGTTGGACAGATTTATTAACCTGTATAAATGTTTGATATACTTAATAGCAACTTTATTGGAAAAGTGAAATATACTGTGAGAATTGCTTTCCAGTATTTATAGATGTGGTACTAAGAATCATAGTTAATTCTCTTCAAAGCCACTGAAACTTGGATATGTCATTTATGTTGTTTTAATTTTCTGAGGCCATTTCAGAAGCTCTTTCCTTTTTGTGAAATAGAAAATTTTGTATGATGTGGGCATTGTCATGCTGTTTTACAGTGAGGCTCATGCAAGATTCTATGCTGCACAGATAGTGCTTGCTTTTCAGTACCTCCATTCATTAGACCTTATATATCGGGACTTGAAGCCAGAAAATATACTCATAGACCAACAAGGATATATAAAGGTAAGATTGGTTTTGTGAGAATGTGTTTTGTAAAGGTCAGAACAAAGTAACTACCAATGCTAATTTTGAAACTGAGTAAAAGCTCTTGGCATAAGTTCAATATTCTCCATCATTGTACTCCAGTAAAGTAGTTTTACTCAGAGTTTATTTTTATATAAGTTTTAGCAGGTTCTTGTTAATAAAATGTATCCAATGAAAAAACTTTCAATATAATGGCTACATTAGTTATGGTTAGTGGATTATAAAATGATAAAAGCTTAACAGAGTTTATATGTTTTCTGAAATTGATTAAATTTAAGTAGAATTAAGAGCACCTGCAACAAAAGGTCTACCTTTTGTAGGTACTTAGTTATAGTATTTGTTTATTTAGTTTTTTATTGAAGATATCAGATAGCCTTAAGCAACACTCAGCTGTGAACTTTATTCACTAATATAGAATATTTGGTGCTGTTCATGAATTTTTTCATTCTCTTAAAAATGATATGGTGTAATTGGTCATCTTTTACAAGATTAAACTGCATGGATTTATGACAATTGTAATATCATTACTAAACTAAGGACATAAGGTCTGGTTCTAAAATGATTTGTATCTAATCCTGTATATCTCATTTTTGTTTAATTAAAAGTTACTATGTGTTTGTAAACTATTTTCTGACAAAAATCAATTTGATTTATTTCATAAAGAAACTGCTTAACGAAAAATACATTATATAGAAAATTAAGCTTTTTTTTTCCAATTTTGATTTTTAGTGTAAATTTTTTGGCATTGATTAGTGTGTGTTTTTTGTATAAAGGTGACAGATTTTGGGTTTGCAAAGAGAGTGAAAGGCAGGACATGGACACTGTGTGGAACTCCTGAGTACCTGGCACCTGAGATCATACTTAGTAAGGTAAAACCTCAGTAATTTTTGGAAAAGTTGTATATGTGTCTTGCACGAATTTCTCATGGGCAAGTGATTCAACTGCTAGATATAAAAAGTTGGTTTGTTTTGAAAGAAACCACTTCTTTTATATATATAAGTTATACAATATACATTTTTTGCTCTGGTTTTTTATGCATGAAGAGCCTGTTATTTATTGGCTTAAAAGCATATCTAGAATCATGTCTTTTTTTTTTTTAACATCAAAAATGTCTTACTTTTTTTAGATTAGCCATTGATTTCTTTGTCATTTCATAATGAAATAATTTTCTTTCTTAGTCATTACAAATTTCTTCTCCTGTATACAGTAAATTAGAGAGTCAGAAGAGAAGCCAAGAGGATTTGGAACAAGCTTGGATTGCTTTCTCGTTTTTCCAAAAATACACTTCTTAGTAATAGTTGTAGTTATTTATAGTAGCTCAAGGGTACCAGACCCTAGTGGAAAGTGTAATTATTTGTTACTTGAGTGAATGGAAAGCCATTCTCCTGAATGTGAAAATGTAGATGTAGTTAAATTCTTAACTTTTTAAGAGTGCAGTCAAATAAATACTGTGGTTTTGAAAATGTTATGATTACTTTTAAAATTCTTTCCTTTTTTTTTAGAGTAAAAGCTGCTTTCTAATTATTTTGGTATTTCTTTTATCTAGTTATTTTTATTTGTAAATTAGAGAGCTATTGTACAAGCAAGATATAAACAATTTTTTTTTTCTTTGCTGATTTAACTATAAAAATATGACAATGTGGTAACTGTTTATAACATAAAAAAATAGTTTAAATATTTTGAAGATATTTAAACATAACTCAAAAGTTACTGTTCATTTCTGTTTTTCATTTTGCTGTGTAATGTGTTCATGTGATGCCAGTATCATTAAGCCATACTATTTTTGGCTGTTCACTTTTAAATACAAGGAATTCCAGTAAACCATGCTATTTTTGGCTTTGATATGTAATGTAAGTGAAGCATAAACATCATTGTATTTTTTATTTTTTGCTACTATTTTAAATGGAAAACAATACTAATTCTTATGACATAGTTATGAGAACTCAGGCTTGGACCAAGTTGAGGGTACATCTAGAATACAGCATTAGGCTTTTTTTTATATGAACAGACAAATCCAAAAGAAAACTGAAGCTACATATTCTATACCCATAACCAGGAAATAACAATATTCTGATAATTTTATTGTACAGTTACACAGACAATAAAACATCAGGATAAGTATTCTGTACACTTAAGTAGGACAAAAAAAAATTGATAATTCTGTTAAACAGTTACATTTAGAATAATGCCTCTTTCTAAACTTTCTGGTATAGACAATTTGAAAAGAAAATATTGTACATCTATAAAGAAAATAAGAATATTTGACATTACTGTTATACATGTGACATAATTACACTAAAATTTCTTTAGTTATTATTTTTTGTAAGAATGAGGTAAGAATACATTTTGCTTGGTAACTTATTGCACTGCTGAACAGAGACTAAAACTTTGTTGTTTTTTCTGTTTTAGAAGAGAATAATGATTTACTTAATTTTGCCTTTTACAGATGATCCAAGATAGAAATTTAAACTAGTTTATGTTGTACAGCGTGTAAGAATACAACTTTTTGATAAGTTGTTCCATACACATTTCTAGAATATATGCATTAAGAAACTGCAGGATCAGAGCAGTTAGATTTTCAGAGTGAGCTGTGACATAGAAGGGTTTAAACATTGTATTTAGCACAATAACTTATAGATTTAGATGTAACTGAATATTTAATTTTATTTTATAATATATATTTGTAATATTAAATAACTAATATGTAAAATGTATTGTTTTAATATGAATATGATTAATTTTTTTAAATAGCTTATATGATGCTTCTTCATTATACTGTAGTCCTGACCTTTATAACAAAATTTGTTTTTCTTTACTTTGTAGGGTTATAACAAAGCAGTGGATTGGTGGGCATTGGGTGTTCTCATCTATGAAATGGCAGCTGGCTACCCACCCTTCTTTGCAGATCAGCCTATACAGATATATGAGAAAATTGTTTCAGGAAAGGTAGTTTACACTAATGTTGTGATTCAGCAACAGCTTAGTTTTGAGTTTACTATGACTTTACAAGCATATGACTAAAATTTGATGTTTGAGTTTACTTTCTGACTGAGAATTAAACTTGTGCCTTCATATCTGCCAAAAGTAACATGCTTATCAATGCCTAACCAATTAATATTCTGTAAAATTGTCATGCTCTTTGTAAATATTTTATTTTTGGAAGACTAAAAGTTTCAAGCACAGTATTACAACTTAGGTTTCTATTTTTATGTCTTAATTTGCCCAGTTTTGAAAATACTCTTGGAAATATATTTGATGTTATTTCTCAGCATTCCAATTTGTTATCTCTTACTAATTATTTCAGATTTAAAGTAATTGAAAAAGCAATTTGTTATAAAGTTGGCATAACTTGTTTTTATCAAATTCTAGGTTCGTTATCCCTCACATTTCACTTCAGATTTGAAGGATTTATTGAGGAGTCTACTTCAAGTGGATCTCACCAAGCGGTATGGAAACCTAAAAAATGGTGTTAATGATATCAAAAATCAAAAATGGTTTGCTTCAGCAGACTGGATAGCTATTTATCAGAAGAAGGTATATAATTTTCAAATTTATTCCTATTTAAAAAATAATGAATTAATGAGACTGGTAGCATAAAATGTCATAATTCTTTTAAAAAATAATTAAATCCTGAGTTATTTGTCTTTTAAACCAGAAAATAGGTTTCTTGTACTGTCTACCTGGACATGTTTGAGGTTTTCCTTAAAAATTATATCAGTATACTTCCTATTTCTGTATATCTACTTTTCATTATCACTAAATAAACAATCATAAAACTAAATGTATAACTATATAAATACATATCTATCTATATATATATAATATTTGTATATTGCATTGATTTGACAGGTATTAAGAACTGATACATACCTTTATGGTAAATATATATATATGAAATACACAAGACTGTTGTTCTAGCCAAATTTAGCTTTATGTAGTTCAAGGACTGTTGAATATTGAATAATAAATAAGTTTCACTTTAAATGATTTAAAATGACATTTGTGTAAAATATAAGAAAGTGAAACTTTAATTTACAATTAAAAAGAATAAATGTCAAAATCGTTACACAATAAATAGTAATAAAAACAGGGACTTGCCATAAAAAAGACTTTACATATGTTTCCATGCCCTATGATACCATCTTCGGAAGTAACGGTTTGGGACTTGTATACCCACATAATCATTTACATTTCAATAATGCCATCTGGGCATAAATTACCCAGAGATAAAAATCATCTGTCCAGTACTTTATTATTTCTAGACCTGGACCAGCTTCCTTATTTAATATGATAGCCAAGTGTTTTAAGAAACTGAACTCTGCTTTCACATCACAATCATAACTGCATATTTTTAAGGCTCTAAACACAAACGTGGAAAAGGTGGATAGTTTTTGTGTCCATGGGTGGCACGATCTATTGTGTGGTGGTACCGCCACAGAAAATGGCTTTCTATTAACAGATATTCATAGTTGTCTATTATCACACTTAATAGTCATATCTAAAAATTTAGCTGAACCTTTTTTTTCCATCTCTAATGTAAATCTGATGGGTAGGACTGATCGAATTAACCTTATTTGCCCAGGCATCATTTACTGCACATGTCATGAGGTTTTAGTTGCTTACATTCAAAATTTTATTAATATCATAAAATCATAGCTAAAAATCCATATTTTAATAGTATATAACTATTAAGTTTTTAATTTTATGAAGCAATATTTAAAAAAATCCTGAATATCCCCCTAATGTGAGAAAGGTGACAAATTTTCTGTAGATCTCCCATCTTCTCTGTTTCACCACCCCTCCAATATGTACGAAATTTAATGTGAATTACTCACTATAAAATCGTCATTGCTCAAACACACCATAAATTTTATAGCTTTCAATTTTGTTTGGTTACAGAGCCATCAAATAGAAAATTAGACCCCTCTTGCCACACCTACCTGTCACATCTTCTCTTTCAGGATTTGTTAATAGTTCTCTCTTATGTTTAACCAATAGAAAGCCAAGGTTTTCATCTCTCAAATGACTTATTATGTTGTGTTCTGAACAGAGAATTGGCAACTTCTCTTTTAGTACAAGCTTTGCTCCCACGGGAAATATGACTAGCTTGGATGAAGTTGTAACAGCTCTTGTTGCGTAGAGAGAAAGCCAGAAAAATTGTGATAGTTAGAGGAAATTGTCTGCTTTTTGCATGTTATTATTCTATGTTCTTTGTTGAATTATTTAATTAAATATAAATTATTTTGTGCATTACTACCAATAGTATGACAAAAGTAGGGTTAAGTGTAATTGACAGTCGACAGTAAAAAAAAAGAGACTGGTAAGTATTTTGTTTCCTTTTTTTAATGTTTATTTTTTATTTATTATTATAAAATTAACAATAATGTAAAAATAGGGATCTCTTTAGGTTAAGGTTAGATTAGGTAAAATATAATAATAACATTTCACGAGTCGCATATGTGAGCAGCTCAGAGTAGCTTGTGGGTAATGTAATTCAATAGCATAACCTGAGCTTCTCATTCCCCCAGTGATTTACAACTTATAACGGTGCGTGCGAATAGTAGTTAGACACAGTTCAAAGGCCAGTAAAACAATATAATTTAATTATAAATAGATGTATACTGTTACGAATTACAAGTTTAAAGCTACTTAGGATAAATGAATGTAGTTTCATGTTACAATGTGAAGTCATTCTAGAAAGAAAAAGAGGATAATTTAGTTTCATTTCAATTTTTTCTTGGTGGTTACGAGGTTGGTCAAGGTTGAGCTATGGTAGAGAAAATAACAGATAAAATATAAAGTTTTACTGAAGACAAGCATTTGAAATTTATTTAGGAAGTTTTAGAGACTACATGAATGATTTTTGAGATGATGAAAAGTATTTTTAATCTTAAAAATCACTTTATGCATGGACTATTCAAAACAAGTACTCAGTATATTCATGAACAAATCTTTTTTTTTTAGTTTATTAAAAATACTTCACTGAAAAATATAATTTTTTTTGTATGTGAAAGACTTAAAATGTTTACTGAAAGACTGCCAAATTTCGTGAAGATATACACACTATATTAAAAGTTAGTAGTATCAGATCTATAAAGACTTTAAATGAGTACAAAGGGGTCGGTCATGAACGGTCAAATTGACAGAACTAGTATTGAGAGAGTTAAGATGTTTTTTAAATTCCAATAAAATCCCAACATCATTCCACCACTCTAAAAACATATGAGTGTGTGTGTGTGTGTCAAGCACATATTTTAAGGTGGGAAATACATTTTTTAAACAGATTATAGGTTTTTGGTAATAGGTTCTCCCCTGTCCCATCTTCTATGCAAATTATTTATGGTCAATTTTGAAATGATTATGTTTAACACACATGAGGTGAAATATTTAGTATGGTTAAGTTATGTAGATGACGCATTTCTAATATGGCGGCATGACTTTGGGACTTTTTTAGAATTTGAAAAACATCTTAATTTGATCAGTCCTACCATCAGATTTACATCAGAAATGGAAAAAGAGAGTCAGCTAAATTTCTTAGATATGACCATTAAACTGGACATTAGATGACTCTCACCTTCTGTTTATAGAAGGCCTATTTCTGTGGTGGTACCACACAATAGATCATGTCACCCATGGACACCAAAACTTTCCGCCATTTCCATGTTTGTGTTTAGAGCCTCAAGAATATGCACTTGTGATTTTGATGTGAAAGCAGAGTTATGTTTCTTAAAACATGTAGCCACAGATAGAGGATATAGACCCAAAATTATTGATAGATTGCATCATAAACATATAAGTAAACTAAGAATATTGTACAAGGTTGGAGGGAAAATGTAAAGTAGATATCATGAGAGTTTGTTCACCATGCGGTCAAGGCTTATCTACTAGAATAGGTAATATAATGAAAAAATACATAGAACGTAGTGTAATATTCTTTCTGCATTGTAAATTAAATAGTCTCACCTGTAAGAAATAGAAGAAATTGAGAAATGTGGGATTTTCAAAATTCCTTGTACCTGTGGTCGAGTTTATGTTGGTCAAACATGTAGAAATTTAAAATTCAGGATCTAGGAACATAAAAACGTGAAAGAAAAATACAGAGTAAATGAATCTGTATTAGCAGAACATGTAGCAGAAACATCTCATTAACGACTGGAGTAACATTAAGTTGATAAAACAGGTAGAATTTAAAATTGAATTAAAATATCAGATAAACTAATGAAATTGAAAAAAATAAAGATATCGTATTAAATAAGGAAGCTGGTCCAGATCTAGAAATAATAATATAATGGACAGATGTTTTATAACTCTGGGTAGTTTAAATGTAGATGGTGTTATTGGAATGTAATTGATTATGTGGGTATACAAGTCCCAACTATGCCTTTCCTGTTACTTTTGAATATGGTGTCATAAGGCATGGAAACATTTGTAAAGTCTGTTTTATGGCAAGTCCCTGTTTTTATTATTATTATTTATTGTGTAATGATTTTAATTTTGTATTCTTTTTAATTGTAAATAAAGTTTCACTTTTTTATATCCTTAGTTTTTCTTCCAGTTTAACACTTATTATTTGATTTCAATGTTTATTTATGTCCTTATTTTCCCATTGTTTGTGATGTTAGCAACCATAATGTTTTTCATAGAAAATTTGAATACTTCGTACTACCTTTTGCATGACTTATTTTCACAGTGCTACTTCATCTGTTTATAGATGCACGTCTTTAATTACTTTTTATGGTTTAGATTTTTATATTTGATTCTTTTATACTAAATCAAGGAGTGGATGCTATTTTTCTTGTTTTGCATGATTTCTTGCATGGTCTTTCTACCAGGAAAAAGCTCAACTTATTCCTAGGATAACTCACCCGGGAGATACTCGCCATTTTGAAAACTACGAAGAAAGTAAAACTGTGTTCCGCCGCACCTTAACAAATGCTTATGAAGTAGAGTTTGAATCATTCTAACTACTACTTTTTTTTACTAACCTTTCCACTAGTAGGTTGCTATTGCCATTTATTTCTCTTTTGCTTATATTTCCTAGACATATTTAAAAAAAAAAGCTCTTAGCATTTCAGATAAATTTTTAAAAACTGCACTTACCTCCTTTATTTTACAGAACAGTCCATAATAACTAATATTGTGACAGCTATGAATTTAAATGAATCATTATATTGGTAATAAAATGTATTCTGTAATAACTCTGAGTTAAAAGACTCGAGTAAGATGCATTATGAAGGCCAACAATATTGGTCTTCAAATCCTTGTTTGACCCTTGATATATCCTGACATTTTTATTTGAACATTTATGAGAAAAATAAAAACATAATATTCCTTGAAAATATGACCATTAAAATGTGGATAACTGGTTATAGCTTTTACCTTAATAATTTAATTAACAAAATACTTTTTTTCATTAGCTTTTTCTCATATAAACATTCTTAATGCTCTGAATATTCTACTATTATATTGATACACCATTAACTTGCTCTGTTATTTCTAATAATTTCATATCCTATTTACATAATTAATTCAGAATTTAAAGTAGGGATTTTGTGATGTTTCTACTCTCTCTCTCTTTTTTTCTTTTAATATTTCAGATTACATATATTTTGGTAATATTCTGAAGTTGTACCGTAGTTATATAATTGGCTTTTTACCATGTAGGTGGAAGCACCTTTTCTACCTAAGTGCAAAGGACCAGGAGACACAAGTAATTTTGATGACTATGAAGAAGAAGCTTTGCACATATCATCTACTGAAAAGTGTGCCAAGGAGTTTGCTGATTTTTAATGTTTACTGCAGGTAATTCTTGTTGTGGCTAATATGGCAAGCTGTGGCATTCTCTTGTAGAAGAGAGCACAGACTTAGTTTGCTAGTTCAGGGGTGATCCAAGGAACAGAATTGCTGAGTTTTATGAAATTCAGCCTGAGTGTGACTGAGTAACACAAGCACAGCTTTAAGTGGAAATAAAGTGAGCTTGAACATTGCATAGAATATGTGTGTGTTTAGTTTGTGCTTGGTTAAAAATAGCTTTCCTTTGCCTAGCTTGTTTATGAATACCGTTGCACATTTGTGCATTCTTTTTCTTTGAATCCAAGAAAGTGGCTAAACATTTCTCCGGTATCCTAGTTGTTCATAAACATCACTGAAGTTCATTATTTATACTACAGATATCTTAATCATGAGGATTATAAATTGGTTTTTGACCCTTCTAATTCTTTAGAGAATTTTATTTTCACCTGTAAGAGCTGATTTGTTAAGAACAAATATACAAGATTGAATAATGTGGTTAAACAATGGTGGTGTGTGTTTAGTAAATATAGTATTTTTACTTATTTGTGCAAAGGCTGGGCTTGTAAGACCATGGATCAGGTAAATACAACGAGCCAGGAAACTTTTCAAGTCTTTATTGCATATATGGAATTTGTCTCATGTTTTCTATCGTTAGGTTTAACCATAAAGCTGAATTATATAGAAAAAGTGTGCTGTCAAATTTAAGAATAATTTGAACAGTTTTACATGAAATTTATTTAGTAAATAACTTAAAAAATTATCATGTATTTTCAATTACATTTAAGGAGGAAATAACCATTCAAATCATTGAATACCTGTGCACTTTCCTGCTGTTATATCATGGTAGTAAGTAGAAATTGTTGATTATGATAATGATTGCTAACTGTTAAAAAACTTAAGGCCAGCTATATTTTACATTTGTGGGTTGAAAACTTTGTAACTTATGTATTACTGTATGTTTCTGTCTGCTGTACTGTTCCTTGTTGATGTCCTAAACTACTGAACTGATTCTTCCTAATACCTTATATTATAGTATGTAAATAGTTTCCTAACTACATCTTTTTAAGTTGTGTCTGTAATGGACATCACATTGTTCTAGTTATAGTTATTAACAGTGTGTGTCTGTATAGAAGCAGGCATGTTATTAAGATGATTAATACTGGTTTTAATTATGTTTCTGAGAATGAAGAACCAGATACAAACAAGCACTAACCGAGAAATAACCGTGGAAAGTTTTTTTTTTCCATTAATAATCAGTTCACTTCTATCAATGAGTTTTTGAGAAAAAAAGAAATTGGATGAACTGCTGTTTAACTTTCGTTTTTATTTCATTGTGCTCTATGTACACAAAAAGCATTCTTTGTAAGTAATAAATAAAAAA